GCTCTGTCGTGACGCTTCCATCTCTTCATCGAATCACCCCACACCCAATCCCTTTGCACCCGAGCCAGATCCGTGAGTGCAGATGACAGCGCCGGTGGTTTGACCTCGGTACGCCTGCTACATAGTGAGATACATGCACGGGTGTCATCGGCTTCGGGTTGATGCACTTTCTTGTCAGTTGGACTGCAATGAAACAATTTTGTTTCTCCGCTTGACATGAGCTCGTGGGCAATGGCTTCAATTTTGCACCCCAGGTAGGCGCCCATCGCTACTATCCACCCATAGTGCTGAAGCAATACAGCTGGGGGAGGGAAGCCCCTTCTACAACTGCGTCATGGTCACTTTTCGCCACACCTTGGCATGTTCTGTGGACCAAGTGGCCGTTGTGCCTTTATCAACTTCAAGCAGAAGAGAGGAACAACTCGCCGCTTTTTCAACATTCAACATATTTCCCCCATAAATCGCGATACTGCAAATCTTGGGGAAGATAAATTGTGGGCACATCTTGGGTCAAATGCCAAGATTTTTTTGCAAGATTCTGATTCCATAAAGAAGGTCCAACAATGTCGGCCGCCTCTTGGGGGTCTACAAGCCCAGATGACATTCACACACGGACGCTCCGTCATTGGGTCCCAGATTGTGGCAGTTTGAAGCATTTGTGTTTTCAACCTCACTGAAGTATTTTCATTGGGTCAGGCCGTATACTAACGAAGTGCCAAGAATCACAATCAAATCGAGATCTGAGTGGTGGAATATCTGCAACCTCCTGACGACGCCCTTTGATTGATGGAAGTTCCTCTGTCTGGGAAGAAGTCCCCGGGGGATTTTCTTTATCAAAATCAAAATCAAAGAGGCAAGGAGTTCAAGACTTCGAAGGCTTGGAGCACCTGCCGCGAGGCCGCTGCAAAGCAAGTGTACGACACGACCTGCTGTACACCGCTCATAGAAGGCCAATCGGCACCCTACCACCGACAGCATGGCCGTTATTTGTAGCCAGAAGACTCTGCTAGCCGGCAAGCCAAAACCCGGGCCGGCTCATTGCGTGCTCGAGGAGGAAACGGCGATCGTAACAAGCGGTGAACGGACTGACGATCAGAACAAGACTGCGCGGCTTTTCGGGCTGTTCCGTGCAGGATAGGGTAGTTGCAACCTTTTGTCTCCACACCCAAGGCATCTAACCTCCCGTCGCGTGGCATTGCTGACGCTGTTGCTTCCTCCTTCGAAGAGTTATCGCTGAAAAACTACACAGTGAGCAGACATTCGGCGCGAACTTGAACTAACCGCTCTCTGACGTGCATATTTTAGGGTAAACCAAACCTTTTTTTTCCTATACGCACGATAACCCACGGTAGCAGACTTTCGGCTTGAAAGATGGAGCAGAGAGTTACCTCCCGCCGCGTGGCGTTGCTGTTGCTGTTGCTGTTGCTGTTGCTTCCTCCTTCGGAACGTTATCGGTGGATAACCAAACCCGTGGCGGCCCAAGACACCGAACTTGAAGTGACCGCCCGCAACTGTTGGCATTTTTGCTTCAACACAACCTTTTTTCCGGCGCATTCGGCACCTTACGGCGCCAAACCTTGGCATTGCCCAATAGCCTATGCTACCAGCTCCTTCCGGATACCAATCTTGAGGAAACTCGTTAAATATTTGGCGAGATATCGGCTAACACCGCTTCTCTGCTGGCTCTTCCCCTGGCGCCAGGTCTTTTTGATTTTTTGCCTCATCTTTCTCCTATCCTCGTTAACATACACGATCCTCTTTTTTCCGTTTTCCACGATCACGCACATTGATTTTGAGATTGTCCACATTCAGATTTGATTTTTGGCATTTGATTCATACACGGCCTTAGCCGGTTAGAGCAGCAGCCTCAGCGAAAATGCCTCAGCACATAACCCGGGGATCTCCGGTACATGTCCCTGGCTCAGCTGAAACGCATCCGCATAAAACCTGGGGATCTCGGAGTAAATGTCCCCGCCCCCTCCCCCGGGATCCAGATTTTCGATTTGTGGGCTTGTGCGTGTGGAAAACAAATCCGCATTTACCCATCCTTGCTGCCGCTGGCACAAAAGGACAACCAATGGTGGCGGACACGATTACTGTAGATGGAGCAATCGGGTAGCGCGGTGTGGAAAATCGCACAACAGTCCCAGCAGTTACATAGCCAGCCCATTTCTCGTCATCTCACCCGGTCTCATTTTTGTCGGGTGTTTCGCTAGCCTGCTGTGGAGGTGGGGTCCTTGGTTCGCTTCCCTCGTCCCGTACGGGCATGTCCCTATACTGTCCGATGGAGCACAAAATCTCTCATGTTGAGCCTCATGTGGCTACTTCGTCAGCAGCGCCTCGATTTCGCTGTCAGCTGCTGCTGCTGCTGCGGCAACGACTCCCACATCCATCTTCACGGTTTCACCCATCATCGTCGTGAGACTTTCAACAGCGAGAAGAGCGCATCGTCAAGTCTTCATCTTGTTGTGTTGCCGGAGAGCTGGCACCAGGTCTGCCTAAAACTATGCTTTCAGATACTGACGGGATGGGCCACGGCGGGTGGGGTGAGTTTCTACGTATATACGAGACCAGCTGAGTGTCACCACCTCTGTTGCTCCTGTCTGGCAAAGCTGGCTTCAATGCGTTCGCCAGATCTTCGTTTTGTGTTCCGCCATTTCCTCGGGAGTAAGGTGTAAGCAACTCCTATGGTTCTTGGGGACAAAGGCCTGTGAAGCATAACCATCTGCTGTCTGAGCACGAATAAACCGATGTCGTGAAGAATGCTGACAGTAATTTTCTCCCTCCTCACAGTGCAGCGGACAGTAAATCGGTGCTCTGTAGACCTCGGTATGCGGGTCTCCCACACTTGCGGAACTTCTAATCATCTGCCCGGGAGTTGCCCATGGGCACAACATTCTGCCCATGGGCAGCCCATGGGCAGCCTACGTGCTGGCCACAAAAGTGTCCGTGGGAAATGCCCTTGGGCTACTATAGACCATGGGCAGCCCATGGCGGGCACTTCGTGGGCAGTTCATCCGTTGGCCATGGTTCATGGGCAGCCTATGGACCGTCAATGAATGACTTTCATCCAGCACCAGGGTACCCCAAAACAAAAGGTTTATCTGCTTTGCCAGGGGAAGCACAACGGCGAAAAACGTGACCACAAAACCTAAACCCAACCCCAAGCCCAAACGACCCGTGCCAGGTTGGCGTTGGTGGCGAAGTTCTAGGTTGATATGCCGGTGGCTAACTTCTAGGTTGATATGACGGTGGCGAAGTACTAGGTTAAAGTGCCCGCGATGGGCAAAAGTGCCCACGGTGGGCACATCGTGGGCAGTTCATGAGCACTCCGCGGGCAGTCCTTGAAGTGCCCATGAGTGGTTTGCCAAACCTCCCAGTGGTGTGGGAGATTGGGTCTCCCACAATTTCTACAGTTTTGCACAACCGCCCATGGGACACCCATGGGCATCCCGTGGGCACTTTGTTGCCCATTGGGCACCCATGGCTGGCCCATGGGCATGCTCATGGGCTCAGTGAGTGCCCTTCAACCGGAGCATTGTACTCCTAAACAATAGATTATCTGCTCTGGAACGGGCAGTGTAAAGACAGTAACCGGAACACTACCCCCCGAGCCCACGCGGTATGTGCTAGGTTGGCGCTGGTGGCGAAGTTCTAGGTTGACGTGCCCACGGTGGGCAGAAGTGCCCGCTGTGGGCCCTTCGTGGACAGTTCGTGATCACTCCATGGGCAGCCCTTGAAATGCCCTTGGGCGGTCAAACCTCCCAGTAGTGTGGGAGATTGGGGTATCCGGGCGGTCCATAATCAGGCGGAAATCAAACTTGGGTCGCGGATAAAGTTTTTTTTCCTCTTCGGATAAAGGCAAAAGTGGTCGCCCTTCGCGCTCCGCAGCTCATTATTAAACGGACTGAATTTGTCAGTCAGGTTCTTGGATTGTTGCCATCTAGTTTCATGTGAAATATGTGGTGTGGAGAACGCACCTGGTCAATCCTCTCTCGTGAGACGAAGAGAACGGATGATAGGATTGTGTGTGAGAGAGAGGGCAGCTGCCTCGATGTACTGGTACCCGGAGTCGGCGTGTCCTCTCGCTCTTGGACTGCAATCTGATGTAAAACCCAGGTTGTTCTTGTAGATCTCGAACGGTCATGGCACGTCAGTCTGGGAGTAAATCCAAGGTGACATTCATCATGCAGCCGCTTCGTGTAGCAGCAGCCACACCCACACAGGAATGCACTCCACGAAAGTGATAGGGCCACCGAGCATTATTGCGTGCCGAAGAAGTTTCAACGCGACAAGGGTGTGCATGGTCCCGATGGTATCGGCTTTCAAGCGGTAGATTGAATGGATAGGAAGCCATAATATGTTGATATCTCCAGCACCTGCCAAGCGCCAGCGACTCTCTTGCCTATTCTGCAGCTTCTTGCATTACTTTACCGGTATTTGTCTTTCAGACCTTCGGCACAACTACTGCTTTGCTGCTCTTTTGCCCTTGCGATACGTGTGTACGATTGCAGGCGCTGTGTGAAGTCAGGCAGCCAGTGCACCTACAACAGGCGGCGGTGGCATCTCCCTCAACCACACCAGCAGGAACGACAGCCTCACCGACCTGATCACGATGGCAAGCACGGTAGAGAGGCCCTGCTGGAATCCACACCACCCGGCGTACGCGAAACGTCTTGCATATTGCCCATGAAGAGGTACCATTAACTGGGTGCAAACGGTGAACTGGTACCGTCTATGACGTTGATGCTTGCAGGCCCAACAAAAACACGGTGGTGCACTGATGCGTGACTCACGAAATCAGTGGGAAACGAAAACACGTGACTTTTGGGTGGAATAGCGGACCACTTCACCCCTGAGCATTGACGGAAAGCGCGTGTAGCTCCTAGCATAGTGCATAAATATAAGGGGACGCTGCTTTTGTTCATGTCAGTGTTCCGTATCCTGTTGCTACATACAGGGTCAGGTTGAGTGCATCTCCGGCGACTGGTCTCGTGGGAATGGAGGAGAACGCATTCCTGAGCGACTTCTTCGGCTGCGTCGGTTTTCTTCCCCTAACCACCAAGAGGTATTGCATGGGTAATAGTAAACAGTAGGAGGGGAACGCTGCTTGGTTCTGTGCTGCCACTCGTGTGCACGGCGGTGCGCGTCGTGAAACTTGCATGCAAACAGCACAGCGTTGTCGCTTGCTGGTAGTTTATCTCGCCTGCCTCACACAATCATCCCATACGTGGAACCTGTACGATGACCTCGCTGTTCTGGCAGTCACATCCGCGAGACGATGGTGAAGATCATGAGATCCCCCGCCTCTCTTCAGCAGTCAGCGGTTGAGGCCGATTGCGACGACGAAAGATCTTACGATGCAATCGCACGAGGGGCGCATTGGATTCAGGCCTCGGAACGGAATCAGCTTCCTAGGGACCCGTCGACATGCACATTCTGGTGTGCAATTGCTCTGGGGGCGCTCGCCGAGGGCAGTCCTATCCAGTCGGTAAGAAGGTGGCGGCGTTTCCCTCTACCGATGGTGGAGAAAACGCTTGTCGATTGCCGAAGGGTGCAATCAGTTGTCACTTATTCTGTGTGCCATTGGAAACACCAACTGGTGTATATTGCTTTCTTGGACAGTTATCACGTTTGTTGATGCTGCAGACCTCTCCGTCTCATCGGCGATTTTCAAAAGGTGTACAAGTACTCTGAACTGGCACAAGAAGCTCTGGCTACGAGCGGTTCCGGTCCGGCAAACGTGGAGGTCGCAAAGTGAGTCACACTGGGCCAACAGATCACATGCTCCTGCCGTCAGCAAGCTTTTCGATTGGGCTGTGGGCGGCTCGTCGATCTAACTAAAGTCCTTGATCTGACGCTTTCGTTTGTGGGCAGGGTCGCACGGTTTGCCCCTTCACTAGAGAGTTGTGCTATTGGATGAACTCACGCCAATCAATCATCCTTCTGGCTTGTTTGTTCGTGTCCAGGGCATGGGTGATTCTGGCTTACCTGTGCTGCTTCATGGAAGACATGGTGAGCCATTGTCCCAGTCCCTGCCATTCATGTGGTTGTCCATCGCAGTTAACTCATGAAGTATCCGATTCCGTTTCTCTGTGTTGAGGCAGCCGGCGCGCATGGGCAATTGCAACTGGTTTTCGTCCACGACGTTCCTGGAACACGTTGGAAATGGTCTGCTCCCGCTGACATTCTATTGTTTTCTTCCTCCGACGTGCTTCCGTCTGACTGGTACGTTTGTCCTTAGGTGGGGTTTCAGGATTATTTGGCTCTTTCGGACGCCTTCGTGACGAGGTGTATTGAGCAAGGGTCCGCCGATATGCTTCCAGTGGTGAGGGGTTCAAATACAACACCCGCCTAGGGTTTCGAAAGTGACCGAGACACGAAGAACAGCCTCATCTGTGGTGTTCTATGCCGGTTCGCGTGCGGTGGACTCATGCAGACGACGTCAGTCTCATTTTGCGGCCGAAGGCATGACGTGAACCCAGTTCCCCAGACAATACTTGCACGACGGCGTTTAGACAAAAGTCCAACTTCTTCTCTTCTCTCCTTATGCTAGGATTGGATAATTCATTGTATGGCTGACTCCGATAGTATTCGACTTGTGCGTTTCTGCGCTTACCAGGGCTTCGCCGATATTGTTAAGCTCAAATATGCCGCCCTCTCTTCCTGCGGACAGCAGTGGCAGATGAAGTCGTACAGGTCCAAAGAGCAAGCTACCCCGCCGCAGGTGTGTGGTTGGTTTCATCGCAGAGCCGTCTAGCAGTTCGTCCTCCAGCCAGGGCTTTGTTCACCGGAACGGATGTGTGACGATAGAGTATTGCTTACATTCTTCACTGAGCTACCGTCGGACAAGGCAGTCCACCTGGCAGGCAGCGTCTTTTGTCTCCACAAAAATACGCCTTTAGGACGACAAGCGGCCTGTGCACCAATCTGAACTATCTCCCTGCCGACATCACAATTTCTCGCTGCCTTTTGATTCGTGCCCGGCCGCCGTTCTTGCTGACCCTTCAATCCCAGTTGAATGAAGCTTTGACGGAGGTCGAGCTTTATCAATATGTCGCTCAGTCGTACAGAGCGTATGAGCAAATTCTCCACGAAACAGTGACCAAGCAAAGCGCGACGGCGTGCGAAACTTCCTGCGAGGCCGCGCCTGATGGCAGATCAGATGGTGTCCGCGGGGCCGACCACGTTCTTCTGCCTCAGGAGGTGTCGGAAGCTATTGGAACGGTGTTCGAGAGTGTGAGTGGTCTCAGCTTTGAGCCGCTTGAACAGGCAGTAGATGGGTGAGTCGAATAATGCAACATAAACGTATTTGGGTATACCGACAATCTTTTGACATACGGTGAGAAAACATATGTCAACCGATATCAGGCAGTCACAAGAATGCTAAGGGCCCATTGGCGCTGCAATGGGCCGTTTCCTCGTTCTACTGGGCAACAACTTTCCATGTGCCCGTTGTTGTGTGTGTCACTCGTATCGACCTGCATGTCTAATTCGGACGCGGTGACTCTGGTGAGCAGACCAAGCGTTCGTGGGGGCATCGGCAGCCTTCTAATCAATGTGTAAGCTGGGATGCCTTCTACATGTGCTCATAGTTTTGTCCCAACACCATTTCCAAGGGTGCTGCAGATGGTCTTACCGGCTGTTTCACTGTTTTTATGGTCGGGGGTTACTGCGGCCATGAAGGGGTTAAGGTTTGGCTGAGATGCGACGCAGCTTTACACAAAATTCGTTCCGATTCAGCGACATAATGTTTTGGCACGGCACTGTTGCTGAAAGCTGTGGCCATTGATAGGGTTTTTTTGGTCGGCCAGAATGAATGCTGCATCCAACAACGTACCATTCAATAGGGCCAGTTGCCCTCGACCGCAAATTTTAATGAACCCTACAGATTCCTTATCTTTACGAAAGCAGCAAAGGGCGATCTCTATGCCACCCTGGAGAAGATAGCCCTCTGCGTTGAGGTTTTCGAGCGATATCCTGGCTTGTGTCGCAGCACGGTGGGGTAAGTGGCGCAAGCAAACACGATGCGTTGATGAGGTTTCCCCCGATCATTTTCCACAGAGCTTGAGCTCGTAGGCAGCTCGATGAAATGGGTATTGTTTGACGGTAAAAGTATGCAGTGACATCTCAGGTAAGAAGTTGTGTTCACGCATACCTTACGTTTGTGGCGATGGCACAGTAGTCCACAGCATGACACATCGTTTCCCTATGCTGGATAACGCATTTCGAGTATTCCGCTCCACCAACCCTTTTCTGCTGTGCTTGTTGACTGCTCTTTTGTGGTTTATGATCACTCGTTTGCTATGCTGAGTCCCATTGATGCTACTATTTGGCTCTTCGCCTGGAATACCTAGTGTGTGAAACGCTTGATGTGCGTATGGTTGAGAAGCCTATTTCGATCGATGCATGCTCGGTTCTGCCAATGACCAAAACATCATGTTTCTTCCCCCTCAATTTGTGTCCAGCTGGGGCTTCTGGGTTCTTGAATATTGACCTCTAGCTGATCGGGTCACGAGGTATCCAAACTTTCATTCTGTTGCGGTCCCATCCTAGGGTCCGTCGTGTTGCTTGATGTCCTCAGACTCTGCAATCTGTATACACGAGGCAATGTGTCTAGTACTTAGTACCTGGTGGGTCATAAATCGGACAGAGAGCTGCAATATCACGGCGTTATCAACATCAGAGCGCCTTACGTGTCGCGTGTTTTATGTCTCAAATTGATAGTAGTGGGTTTGACCAAAACACGACACCCGATACTTCTCCTGAGATGCGAAGGTAGCGTGTTGCGGCCTCCTTCCACCAGTAGGGTACGGCGCTTATGGAATGTGACGTTGGTGACTTTGCCAACGAATGGGATGTACTCCATTCAGTTACGCTTCCTTTCCCACCAAGCGTATGATCGTTTCGGACAAGTATTTCTTGGAAACGTAATGCTCACGAGTGGTTGTGTGCTTGCTCTTGGTGTCATTTGGGCCGATTACATTTTTGTGATATTGTGCTGGGCTTGTTTGTGGCGGCGCTGATTATTGTTTGCCGTGGCGAACAAAGAAGAGGGGGTGCCGCATGTCATGGTGTATCGAGCGATATATTCTACAAATTGCTGGTGTCGAATGCGCTTTGTTCCCCTCTGCCCCACGCTGCGGATGGTCCATAAAAGATGCCACCTGGCCCACATGGTGCTGGTAGCTCTCGCAGCGATTGGTGACTGCAGATCTCAAGGGATGTACGACAGGTTGCGGGGGTCCTACAACTCGTGTCGTCCTTCCGGCTCACGGCCCGTACCCCCTTTGGAGGAGTGGCACGGTGTGGATGCCTTCTGCGACGATCTATACTGCAGGTAATTCCTCTGAAAGCATAGGACCCTCGCCAAATCATGCGGTACAGGCACTTGGTTATACGAATGTGGGGAAACGCGACATACTCTCAGTCTTGCTTCTGCATTGTACCGCGATTTAGTTTGCGGTGCCTAAGCGACCATTGGAGGATCGCCAACATGTTCTTGCAGTCACTCACGACCAACCCTAACGGCACGTCCTCTCACTCGGCACCGAACTCACCTTCGACCGCACCACTCGCTGGTAGGGCGAAGGACCTGGGTGCAAGAAAACTCAAGGCTTTCCGGGCACCACCCGGTGAGAGCATGGGCGCCTGCGTTGGAACGAGGGGCACGGAAAGTGACGAGGGCGAAACTGCTTTCCAAGGACACTGGGAGAACCAGAGCAGCACGTTATCAGCATGCAACATTGCTCAGAAGATTGTCGGCGGAGTTTTTGCTAGTTCAACTGGGGGGGAGCCCGAACGTCGTGAGGGCTCCGCTATGGTCTCGACAGCACCTTTTGCTTCTCCAGCATCCTCAAACAACCCTTGCCGCCTATTGACGACAGGGCTTTCCTTCGACCACGTCGAAAGCAAAATTGACAGCTTGGTCGTCGCTCCCGAGTCATTGTCAAGGCTTCGAGACAATAGTGAGGGGAGCGGGGAGGTGGAGGATACAGAAGAAGGCAACATTGGCGCAGGAGATTGGTTGGATGTGACCCATGCAATGTTAGATGCACTCGGAACCGACTGACGAGAGTATCCTCGCGGATGCCAACTTGGCTCGCGAACTCTGGGCATAGTGCTCGCTTGAGAATTGTGTGGTTTGAGCACTGCAATAGGCTATATATCAGTTCAGTGTAGTTCAATCTCGACTTCGGAGTACGAAATATGGTCATCACAGGAGCCTAACGATTGAGAACATGTGGCCATTAATTTTTTTCTGCTCTGCAATACTTCTGTGTTTTTCGAGAATGAACGATGTCGGAAGGTTGTGCATAGGCGGGACGGTAGGTGATGGCGGAGAGCTCTCACCTAATTGCGAGCTCCTTCATGACAGATGTCCCGCGGTTTCCGTCGAGCATTGGGATTCTTCGTCCACACACGTAGAGGCGTGATGCTACTCCGGGGATTTAGTTCCACCAAATAATTGATGTCGTGTTTTTGAGTCAAGTCATATGTACTACAGGGTAAGGTTTGACGTGCAATACCCTTGCTGTATGCGTACGATGAAAAAAAATATCACAAAAACATATGGTCGTGTGCCCGCTCCCAACAAAAGAGAAACCCCGAAAAAAGTATTTAGGTGGGTGTACTCATAGTCGTGCATGCCGTAGTCGTGCCGTCGTCGTTAGACCGTTGACCTCGCATCCCTATAAAGCCGGGACGGAGCACGCCGGGTTCTCACCGGACCAGGCTCTCACATCACCAAGCGCGAAGCGCCGTGAGGTATTTGGTGACTCGCGTGAAGGGTGCGCTGCATGCTGCTAAGGGTGTTCGGCATCTTGTGCTTACTTCCTTGCGTACGGATGACACAGCTGTGGATGACTTAATTACTTTGTCTGGTGCTTTTCACTTTCATAGAAAGTTTTAAGCACTGTGTAACTGCCTCGAGTGCTGGATTAATTTTACACAAGGCGGTGCGATTATCCCCTTTGCACGGAGTGAGGATTCTCGACCCCGCACAACAGAATCTACTCGACCACCATTCATGGTTACCGTCAAAAACCCCAGAGGCAAAACAAATAAGCGGAAATCTGGTGGTCGAGCTCCCGAAGTGATGGGCTTGTTACACAACATCGTTGCCAAGCGACCAAAACCCAACCCCGATGACAGACATTGGGGGGATGGTATGTTGAGGGGTGTGAATACCTGTGAAAAAGCCGGTGCCTGGGATATTGGCGGGTTATCGAGCCAGCACACGCAGAAAATATTCAAGTATTGTGAGTAATGCCGTTATCGATTGTAAGGCCTCGGTCAATTCTGTGGGCACATACCGGCGGATTCTTGAGGGCCAAGCCTGTGGGTTTCAACCAAAGCTGTGGTTCTTGGCCAAATCACCGGTACCGTCATTTTCTCGATTACCAGCCACCACGCCGCAACTGCTGGTGTTGCCACAAGTCTCTGCCGCCCATTCTCGTCCTTTCTTCCCGTGCCTGCTTCGTTTCGTGCCGAGAGGCGCCGTGCTCTGTGCTGTGGTCAGGAAACACTAGGCACCTTTATAGGTTCAATCGATTCCGTCCGGAGCCCCGAGCGACGTTCTTTGCACACTATACTGGTCGCTACGAGAGCAACCATGCGAATACGACAACGGTCGTCAGGCTCGAAATTCTTGCTCTCTCAACGCCATCTTTCCCGCCGCGAATATGACTTCATCCTTCTGTGTTCTTCCCTTTCCTTCTTCCTCTTTCGTCACCCCAATGTAAAATTCCCCTCTAAGCGACCACCATTCTCCTTTTCGTCGGTGTTACTGAATTCCCAACAAATTGGCTGTGGTGATATGTGGGTGCGCAGTGCGCAGAAGGTGTAGGGCTCCGAGCTTGCAATTGACACAAATATCAGAATTGAGGTCCCGTCCTCACTAGTTTTGAAATGCCACATGAATGTCGGCAGTCCAATGTAAAGGTTTCGCCACTATAGAAGCTACTTTGTAATGTTGTCTACGATACCGACTTTGCCGCCCCACACTCATCATACAAGTAGATAAACTCTCCGTCTAACCTGCTGACACTTCACCACGGGCGCACATAACTTCGTACTTGTATTCCAATTCGTTTAGAATTGGTTTCAGCTACGGAAAAACAAATACCATAACGGCATTTTTATTCAGCCACGACCACCAGACAGACGCTAACCAACGAAAACAATAAGAAAGAGAGGCTAGCACACTGGCGTAGTGGTGCTGTATACGTGATGTGTGACATGATTCAGAAGAAGAGGACTCCGCGCAACAAGAGAGAGACACGTACGTTCGGTCGCTCCATTCTTTTTCCGTTTGGATTTTGCGGAAGAAGACAAGAAGAAGAAGCAAGCCCGGATGGAGGATGGATGTGTTTTTGTCCTATTTATGGATGGATCTCAATATCATTACGCCGCCCAATCTTCCCTACACTCGCTCACGCCGACCCTGATCTCTGCAATCACCGACAACGACCTCTTCCTCGTCAAACCAAACGCGGGCGACCGTAAAAACCGCGAAGACCGACGTAAGCTCCTCCGATCCAAAACGAAACACGATCCCCCGCGCCGCCCAGACTACCTGCGCCGAAAAGCTCCAAAAGGTCGACGCTCTCACTCCGACCGTTCCGTTCGTGACGCCGTCGTTTCGTCAAGCCGTAACACACCAAACAAACTTCAACCCGTTCAAAGAATCAAAGGAAAGCGGACCCCGGATTGGAGGAAGCCCTTGCACGAGCAAGGCAATCAATAATCGTATTCCGATGCTAAACTGTATCTTTGCGAGAGTTGCCCCTCCAAGCGCTCCGGACCGTATGTTTCGCAATTTTTTGTCGCGCTCGGACCCCTTGGCGGGATTTTTTTCCCCTCTCTCCCTCGGATGGTGTTTATCGTGAATACTGTCGATTGTTTACCACAATATTGTGCCATCGTTCTCTCTGCCGATTCGACAGGGTCCCGGCGTGATGGAGTGACTCATAAGGAGGGTATTTCGACGGACCATTCATAGTATGCCCAAGCGACTAAATGACTGAGTGAACGAATATTCCTGCGTCACCAATGTTGATGAAGAAGGGCTTCATGTTGTTCATATTGGATGTGCCACGTCTGGCTTCATGCTATCGTGACGACGGGTGTGAAAATGGTTGACACGGTATCTCCCAATCTTCGAGAGCATAAACGTAGCTCGAAAAAACCGTCCGTAAAACGTCACCTCGATTTCACTCCACTTTTTTCTCCGTACACATATTCGTTCATCCTGCCTGATACTCCCCTTTGTTGAATATGATTTACTCTGGGCATAGATTGTTTTCTACGCTGGGGTGTATGCCCCTCTTTCTCGAAATTTCCCAAATATTTCTCATTACGACTAGTCGATTAACCCATATCAATAATATTGCGAGACCCTTAATATATGAGGGTAACCATCATGTTGCGGGTATACGAGTTATTAGGGTCAAGACAGTGGATAGTCCTTATGAATCGCCTTCACATAACCGTGTTCGCGCGAGTAGACCAGTGAATGTCGAATGAAACTTAATTGTCTGTCCATTGGTTTCGCTCACACTGCCGAATAGAGTAGCGCCGAAAGCTCTTGTGGGGAGCTTTCAGGTCCAAACAACAATTGCGTTGCTTCGGTGATGATAGTATATATGGGTTGGTTCAGTGTGATGGGTGACAAGTGGGACGATGCCTGCGAGGCTGGCAGTTATTTTTTTTTCCTTGCGTGGAGTAAAAAATATATATGTAGGTGCAAAGATAAATCATATGAACGGTTGAAGGAATTGAGCTCCAAGGAAACAGGCTTATGAAGTTTACTCTTATATTCTCGCCCATGAGATTATAGCCAGAATTTTCGATGGCCCAAGTCCCGCCATGAAACCCAATCCCGACTGCTTCAAGAAAAAACGATTCACTCCATATGAATTCATATGGAGGGTTCGCGGTGGCTGAAGACCCGTTTAAAACCGCGTCCTCCCTCTCAAACACAGGTTTCGCTGGTTAGATCGCATCACCTGCATGAAGGCGTCGTCACCAAATATTTTTTTCACTTCCGGCTTCGACGTGGCTTTCTCGTCGAGGGGACTGATACGTATCGGATACCACAAAATCTGCATTCTGAGTCTGTACTTTGAGCACCCCAGTAACACGACACTGTTGGAGAATTCGATGTGAATATTCCGCGAAACCAATATCACAATCCGAGGTACAATGATACGAACCGGTGAACAATTGCAGCGCCATGGAAACGGGCGAGAAAATCTTCACTTTGATAACTCATAATGCCGTTCACAACAGACTCGTCGGATTCAGAGTCCATCTGTGACAGGAGAGGAAAGTAACACATGTCAACCCACCTTGCGCTCCTCCGCAATCGTCCTTCTCCGAACACTATGCGCCTTCCGGAGCAGTTTCCGATCTGTACGCTCTCACCAACGGTGCTCCGCTGCGGCGTTCCCGTCGCTGACACAGTTCGGCGCGCTCGGGGACGGGATTTTGGCCGTACTTGCTTTGTTGTTGACATTGTGAGTCTCCCGCACACCCGTGGGCAAGGGAATCTACATACGTAGATCTGGAACAGAAAGGCGTCAGATTTCAAATTTGCTGGTATGATCCATGCCTGTGCTTGGCACCCGCACCTGAGACGGTATAGCCAGAGGGCAGCCATCAAAGGATCAGGCAGCTTGGACGCCCGTTCCTTGACCCTCATTAGAACACGGTGGTCAACGGCGATGCCATGCGTATCCCCGCACGGTATTGACGACAACCTGTCGTTGGGCCCTCACTACTCTGCGAGCGGCAGAGTACTGAGTGTCCGAGCTCCTCGTAGACACGCGTTTCGCCTCTGTTGCACCTATGTTGATACTTTCCCCGATATTTCTTTGGTGCGAGCACGTGGAGAGGGGGGTGGAGAGATGGGTAGCGATGTGGGTCTAGGAGGGGGCACGGACGAGGGTGCACGGAACAGGGGGCTTATACTTGCGTTTTGGTAGTCGGGAATATTCCAAGCATACTGACCTAGGTGCTGTGCGCTGGCCAAAGCGCTGCCCACCATTAGCCATGTTCAAGTTGTCCATTCGAATTTGAATGTTCAGCGATGGAGAAAATCTTCTGGTCGGAATATGCAGCCGAGCCACCCGGCGCCCGAGCCACCCAGCGCCCTCGTTAGGCCGCCGAACGGAAATATTCACGCAGTGCCGTAAATACGTAACCGTATTCAAACGCCGCTGAAGTCATGCTGTGGCCACGTTCTTATGCGATCCTCGGCAACCACACGTTGATTTCGGCACAATGCGGCTAGTGCGACAGCCGGGGGACAGAAAATGTTGCTTCGAATCATCTTGGTAGGTATCGCAAACATTATTTACGACACCGCTGTCGTAATTGGCATTACCGAAAAATATATCGTTGCATCTCTCTGCCGACCCTCCCACCTCTTGACCACTTCTTAATTTTTTGTCCATGTCCGCTCACCACGCTGGCGGACCCTGCGTCCCCAGTAGATTCCTACTTGCGACTGAGGGTGGGATGTGTCGATATGTCACTGACTGGTTCAGAGCTTTTGAGAAAGTTTCCCACCAACAGAGAGCAACCAGAGCGCGACGGCCGGCGAAAACCTATGCCAGGCATAGTCTAGATGAGACGCATTCCGTCCGTTTCCTGCAAAAAGAGGTGGCGGGTGCTATGAGGATGGTGCCGCACAGTGGGAAAGGTCTCGTCTTGGAGCCGCTTGAAAAAGCAATTTTGAGTGAGTCGAAACACGCGTGGGCACGAGTTTATACACACTTCTTCGAAGATCAACAGCGACCTGCACCTGGAGACAGGGTGGTTGACCGTATCGTCGGATTTCGGGGCAACCGCCCCGTTACCCCGAGAAAACCTCACCTTTGTGCTCGGGAAAAAATGTACTATAAAGATCGTCATTGGACCATCTACAAGTATCGACGATACACTTGATTTGAGCGAATGAGAGACAGCAGCCCGCAGTTGTGGCACGGTCCGACGAGACCCCGTTTGTGAGGCTCGGCATAGGAGCGATATCCAGTGTTGATACTCGATGGGGCACAGGAGGTGCGACAAAAAAATCGATACCCTCGAGCCAAGTACACTGCAGCTGCATCCTCGGAAGTGATGTGCACTTGCGCACATGCCGACGACTGACTGAAAAGACAGATAGTATCTATTACAATTCAAAGTTCCTGTGGGCTACAAATGGTCGCTGTATTGGTTTTAGAGTGGGGCTGATACTCGGGCTCTCCAGGGGTGCTCAAGCTCCTACATATGTAGTCTTCTACAGCAGAGGTTCAGACATGTGCGCTGGCTGCAAGCGACGTAAACAAAGAGCGTTTGCGAGATTTGCACGGCTCAATGAATCACCTACAGCACATAGTCTAAAGCGTGCAGCGGCGGGGACTTACCTGCAGCATAGCAGCCAGCGCGCTTTTTGACAGGCTCCCATTCTCACACTCGTGCGCGGAACTGCTGTGTATATGTGGCTTGCCTGTGTGTAAGTCACAGTACAACAGCAGCACACGTTCACCAGGCATAAACGCCCATAAAACGTTCCTTGCCGAGCCTGTTGGTTTCAACCAATAGGAGGAGTGCAGCAGCTGTTGTGCACGAAAAAATTCCGAAATTTCCCTCACCGCTTCAGCCGCCGCAAGACGCTAAATAGCAGTTCCTTAGGTCTCTGTCGCCCCAACTCTTGCTCTCTTCCTGTGCCCGCCCCCTTGAATGCGCAGAGAAGACGTGCTCTGTGCAGTGGCCAGAACCACGAAACACCTGAGAACTGGCCCACGAAACTGGTCGTGATGAGAGAAACCAGTACGGTGCAACCCAACTCCGGCGGGAACAGCAGCTATGGTCGGCAAGGGCATGGAACTTGCTTGCGACCAACTCTTTTTGGAATGCGGAGGAGCTGCTCAGAGTGCGGACGGAAAAAGAAGAGGTGTGATGGTCAACAGCCGTGCGGGTGAGACCGCTGTCCAGGGTGCAGCACCCCGTCCAAAAATGTCACGGTTGTTCACGGAGCGGTGTCTGGTACGAAGTAATGTAACAGGCGTAGGGGCGGAGCGGGGCGGAGAGGGCCGGAGCGGAGCGGTTTAGCGTGAGATTTTCCAATGAAACAAAACCCGCTCCGCTCCGTGACGTGAGTAAGCAAACCGCTCCACTCCGTGAGAATTTTGTCGTCGGATAAACTGCTCCGCCCCGCTCCGTAAGGTTTCCCAATAATCCGTACGAGCGATATTTTCACGGAGCGGTCGGAGCTGCTCCGTCACATGCATACCCTAAGGTTGCGAGTCAGCGCACCCCCGTGCGGTGGTCTGGTGGTCTGTTGAACATGAACATTTTCACCATTTAATTTGCATCGCACCCGTACGATGACTCCGGACCGTGCGATTGACCCCGTGCTGAAATCGAACTAAATCATTTGGTTTTGGTATTTAACGCACACCCCTGTTCGATGACTCCAGTACAGAACGGGCCCGGCGACAAGACACGTCAAATTCGGGTAAAGCCTCAATTTCCTATTTTTTTGGGCAGAAACCCCAGCCGAAGTCGGCCAATTTTTTTATTCCTTGGAGCTGTCGCTGTTGCTGAACCCATTATTTTCACATTTCTGGCGAGGAAAACAACAACCCACCAAGCCTTCATGGGTATTATACCGACAGCTCGGTGTAGCCAATGTTGGGGGTTGTGGCAGAACAGCAGTACTGCAGCAGCGGGTAGCGCAGCCCGCAGCGGCGCGGGGGCGCGGGGGGCTCCGCGAAAATAACCACTTTCGTCGCCCTCTACCAAATAATTACATGACATGAGCAAGGTACGGGGCGGGGGCATGGTGGCAGCAGCAACAGCAGTAGCAGCGGCACCTTTCTTATTGGACACGCTCCCCCAGCTACCCCTTGTTTCTTTTGTCTTGGGGGTATCGCACGATCATGTTTCTTATTGAGGCGTTTCTTATATTGTTGCCGAGATTGAGCTGTGTTTCTTAGCCCTTTTTTCTTATTCTTCGTTAACATCAGAGCTTTTTTCTTTTCACACCATTTTTCTTAATATTGGGGGGCCGTTCTGTATGTGCAGTCCTGAGTAAACCTGAAGACGATTATTATCAAGAATTATTAACGCACACCGGTATGCGGTATGTGGTACTCTAAAATACTTTCAGATGCACCCTCAGTTGAACTGCGGTTACAGGTTCCACGCAACGTACACATACACATGCACATCAGTCAACCACATGTTAGCCCGGTGGATGCTATAGGTTTTCGAGAAGCACACACACAAAAAACAAAATGCGGCGAAATAAAACGCGACGAAATACGAAATCCCGTCGGCGGAAATACGCTGAAACCGTGCCAGCCAGGGATCAATGCGCCGAAGACAATGTTTTACCGTGACGAACCAACTACCCAACACCTCCTTCTACACCTTCTCAGCATTACATACAGAGAGATGCACAAGATGGCTACCAAACTGTCCTGTTGAGCCTGTTACCCACAGAAGAGATATCGCTGTGTGCTGCTCGGGAAATCGTGGAAATACAGGTCGCCTTCGCTGACGCTATGGAATCATTCACTGCTACATTGATCTATCTTCGAGGGTTTTCTTTGATGGAGATGGATTCGTTGGGTCATATTAGGAAAAAAGAAAAAAAGAAATACAGGCAGAGCACCCATACATATAGGTCGTTTGTCGCCGTTGGGTTGGGTTGGGTTGGGTTGGGTTGGATAGGGTAGGGTTGGGTTGGGTCGGTCGGTCGGTGGGTGGGTCGATCGGGCGGCCTTGGGCCGCCTTCGTCGATCGCGCCGCCGTGGCCCCGTCGATCGTCGCCAGCGGTCGTCCTTGTTGGGAAAATAGAAAAAAGAAAAACAGGCAGAGCACCCAAATGGGCAATTTTGTTGAAAGCCACGGAAGAACTTGCCACAATTATCTGTGTTTCAGAGGGGTAGAACCGCATCTCCCACCAATCACACGTCGATTTCGTAAGACATTTTGTAAGACAGAGACAGTTGATTGGCCGATGGGCACAACGCTCTCGGGAGAATCCCCGAAATCCTCTTGCACAGCAGCACCACACACACCACGCAGACAACATACGAGACAACCAGCACAGCACCATACGGACTGCTGTAGGCCAAGAGAGGCGTTGGGTGTGACTCTTACAGCCGATTGCCTGCTGTCGGTCGCCAGCACAAGCGAGTGACGACGCAAGTCAATCTGCCGTCCGTCTGCATCATACTCAACCTACCGATCTTTGGAGCTTCAAACACAGACGCATCCCCAGAACAGAGCCAACCAGACGTACACACTGCTGTCGGCCAAGGCCGGCCAAAGGCACACATCATGGCTGGCGTCGGAAGCTATTTTTTTACCCCGAGGCCTGCTGCTGACAGCGTAAGCGAGATAACACCCGAGTGCACACCAGTCAAATCTTCTTCGTCTGCAGGCCGATCTTTGCTTCCACCACAGAAGCATTCCCTAAACAGAGACAAGTGAGACGTACACAACGCTGTACGCCGAGGGCCGCCAAATATACACATCGTAGCGCATCTGTACGCATTACGCTAGCGCGACTCTGAAAGAAGACGGAGAGGCATCGGGGGCGATTTTTAGGGCTTGTTGCCCCCGCTGCTAGAAGCGAAAGCGATTAAAGCAAGTGAACACCCACCCTGCACGGCAGGAGCAACAGCAGCAGCATGTGATGATCATGCGAGCTAAACAGCGCTCTCAGTCATCCCCTGACTGGTGGTGTCCGGTGAGGTGTGAGCGTGTGCACTGGTGACCTCTATGGTGGCGTAGGCTCCATCCGTATCTATCTACGCTTGCTTTCATGTCTCTCTCGGCCCCTTCTTTTCGCGCTTCGCGCGAGAACATATATATATATTTTGGTTGGACCCCTATGCATGAGAGGTGAGCCGGAGAACAGGTAGCTTCCGCTGATGCAATGGATTCATTGCTAGTCTATGTTAGAATCTTTACTATGGACAGAGATGGAGGTTTTGTGTGATATTAAAAAAGCATTAAACCACTTAATTTCCCACCATCGAGGTGTGCCTACAAGCGACGCACAATCGCTTGGCAATCATGTCGGAGTATCAAGTACGCGGGGTACCGCGATCTCAGGGGCTAGTGGTGGCGACCCTTCCCCTGCGGACGCGGACGCGGTAAGTTTGGTTGAATGGACAATGTGTTTCATTTCCTTCATACCTTCACGTGCGGTGTGCGACGATGACCTACCCATACAGCAGAGCTAACATGCGAGCACTGCCATGGTTGAAGGGGTGAAAGTTTCCCCGAAATCGCTGGCACTCAACTACCCTACTGCTGTAGGTTGCGAGTCTTCGCACCCCTGTGTGGTGACTCCGGACCCTGTGCGGAAAAGGAATTAAATCATTAAGCCATTATTTCCATCGCACCCCTGTGCGATGACTCCGGACCGTGCGGTAACTCGCACCTTTACGGTATACAATCCATGGGCAACATCGCAATATCTGCCGTTACATATAGACCGCAGTACAGCCTCGTTTTTTCCAAGGAGTCACGGGTTTTGCACGGTGCGAGCCGTACTTCACAAGACATGATGTGTGTGCATGGGCTTCCGTATGGTCTACAGTCTACACCCACATAATAACATGAAAACAAACAACGTACAAAAACAAAACATGCATGAACATTTGATTTGACAGGACAAGCTGCCAAGAGGAGAGAAAGGGGGTTGGCAGGGACTCGCGAATATCCGTTGTTGGCAGGCAATGACGCCCGACCATGTCGGCATGTGGCCATATGTTCCTCATATTCGAAGCCCGCTCTTACTTGTTGTTGTAAATGCCTTCGCATAAAAACCGCTCCGGTCTACGGTTAGTACCTTCTAATGTCCGTACTGGTCCAACTGACGCGGACACCTTCCGTGGCCACAAGCCAACTACCCCGTGAGATGAACCAACGGCAGTTGGACAATAGTCTTTGCTGCATGTCACACAATATGTTAGGGAACATTGCTTGCAGCTCTGTTGGGAAGGCTAAACCTGCAACTGTCTGAGCTGCTCGTGCGGGAGATGAAGTGGTGGTTGTGTTCGAATCTGACTGAGTGTACCAGGGACGTCTTGTCTGTATTTGGGCGTAGTGGTCCCTTGTAGAGAGTGGTGAACAACACATGAGACGCCTGGTGTTACCCAACACCATCGTGGCGAGTTCAAAAACGAGAGAGGGCAAGCGGTTGAGGAATTGACGGCGGCTGTTTGGTATGTGTCGCAGGAACGAATGGGTCGAGGAGATATCCATAAGAGAAACGGTCCCTTCACCTGTGACTACATACAGACAACGCCTTCGGTTGTTTGGGCTACTCTGGCATCGCCGACGCGTACGGTGTGAATGGAGACCTCCACACACAACCCCCACCGGGCGGAAACATCAATTTTCAATGTATCAAACCCAACGTATTGCACGAAATCACAGGTAATCCATCAACTTGTACGGATATCCGAATGATTTCAGCGGTTTTTCTCACGGTGCACCGTCGTCAAGGCGTCGGTTTCGCGCGGTGCATGCAGCAGAGGAAATGAAACCGCTCCGTTAAAAAAATGTGCTACGGATCAACGGCTGCTCCGTTCCGCTCCGTGGTATGAAAAGAAAAAAACGGTTGCTTCGTGAGATACTACTCCCCTCGGATTAACCTCTCTCCGTCCCGCTTCGTGAAAAGTTCGGAAAGGAAAAAAAAGCTCCGCCGGGCGGTTCTCCTCCGTGAACAACCCTGAAAAATATGAGAAGGTGCCCAATACCAATTTGTTTTTTTATTTGCACCTGCAGCTGCGACATTTACTTACATTTATTTTCCAAAGTTCCACAACACAGAGCCCGCGCAGCTGATGTGTTCATCGTATGCATATGCCACACCCACCGAAGATACCACACACCTAGCAAAAATGTAAAGAAGCCACATCAGTTGTGCAATAGCACCGACCAATTGCGGCACAGGCGATATCACACCCCTTGCATGTTGAGCCGCAAATGTATATCCACGGAGCCCCCAGTCACACGTTGCAACCTTGCAACGGTTTGCACCGGTTGCTCCGGGTGTTGGGATAGGCCGCAACACCTATGGAGACGGACAATACCGCGGAGATTAACGAAGCACAAAACCCTGCTGAAAGCCTCGCCAGTGAGACTGCAGTGAGTTAGACTTCAGCAGCGGCGCCACGCCCAATGGCGTCGTTGTGTCATGTGTTTTCAGGGGGTCGCATCCCGCGGTGGAGGAAATTGTGGCCCCTGAGACGCCGTTAGCAACTATGCATAACTTGACACCGAGACGGAGGCCCACACAACAAGAGTTACTCCTCTGACTCCCGCAGCACCCGCTCTGTCGTCCCCCGCCGGTGCTGTTGAGGCCCGCACAGCATCTGCGCAGCACAATCTACTGCTGACACCCCCGCAGAAAACACCTTCTAGGCCTGGTACCGCCCGTGCTGCTGAGCCCCGCACAACGCTTCCTGTAGGTTGGGTCCGTTGGACGCACTTTTCATCCCACAGGTGACATGGTGGCACCACATCTCTATACACACCCTTGTAGTGACACACCCTTTGGTAGGCTCGTGTAGGCCCACTTCATCCCACGGGTGACATGATCACACCTGATATTTTTCACACACAGCCCCATCGGTGTTTGCCATTGGGGTTGGATTTTCGGCGCTCGGTAACGACGTTGTAAAACGAGCCGATCACTTCGTGAGCTCGGCAACCAGGTTACCGCTTTTGTTTTGCCTCTGTTTGTTTTTGGGGGTACCATGAATGGTGGTCGAGTAGATTATGTTGTGCGGGGTCGAGCGCCCTCACTCGACGCAAGGGGGGTGATCGCACCACGGTGTGTAGTATTGGTCAGGCACCCTCGCGACAGTTACACAGTGCTTCTTACTGTCTCTGGAAGTGAAAGCACCAGAAAAAATAATTAGGTCATACGCAGTTGTCATCCGTACGCAAGGAAGTAAGCACAAGATGCCGAACACCGTTAGCAGGATGCACTGCACCGTTCATGCGACTCGCCGAATACCTCACGGTGCTTCGCGCTTGGTAATGTGAGAGCCTGGTCCGGTGAGAACCCGGCATGCTCCGTCCCGGCTTTGTAGGGATGCGAGGTCAATGGTCTAACGACTACGGCATGCACGGCTATGAGTACACCCCCTTGTGGGGTGGAATCCTGGGAGTGCAGTTTAGCACGGGTCACACAAGGTTCCACCCACACACAGAATACCATACCCGTTTGAGTAAGCTTGTTTATCCTATTTTCTATGACTCGGGTGTGGTATCTTGTGTCACCTATGGTGGGCTATGTACGTAGACTAGACGTTTAGAAACCACACCGAACCAAAGCCAGAGAAAAAATAACGGGGAAAAGTATGACGTTTTACTCCACGTTTGCTAGGCGACTCAAGCTGCTCATGGCATGTGTGTTGTAGAGAACGCAAACGCTATGAGGCTGCGATTGTCTCCAGGTTCGCGCTGCGGCTCAAGTTTCTTGTAGGATGTGTGGTGCCAACCTCTCTCGTAAGACAGGGATAGATAATAAGGGTGCGAGAGATGAGGCAGTATGCTTGTCGCGGATTCGGCGAAGGTGTGGTCTACTCTAGGTTACAGTAGGTCTTCGAGGATTATATGAGGTGGAAATTGCCATGCAGCCACCTGTAGCAGCCCCTGACCCCATTAGCGATATGGGCCCGCCGAGCATTGTTGCGTGCTGAGCAAGACGTAACACGGCATATGCGTCCGTCGTATTGGCTTTCAAGGGTGCGATCAGGGGCGGCTATAATTTGATGATATCTTGCGCACGGGCCAAGCACCGGCGGCTCTCTTGCCTCTTACCTACATATGATAGGGGGGCCCGCAGAGGTTTCTGCACGTGAGTTTCTTCTGGCTTAGCTCTTTGATATGACTGTCACTCACTCCTCCGGGGAGCATTGTAGCGTTATGCGTTTGTGTACGATGCAAATGAACATGAAGTGTGGCCCAGCCTAAGCGCCACCTGTGTTTGACTTCTGTTTGCAACCTTCCGACCCCCACGCTGAGATTTCGGCAGTACTGCATGTGACCGGAACGAAAAGAACGGATTCGTTCATAGAGGCGGAAGGCCGCTGATTTCGTAGGGTACAAGCCTACTCTTGTCAGGGCAGTACAATACTCCATGTGGAACGCCCTTCACATTGCCGTGTGTGACCAGACAAGCAAATGTTGAAGGCCGCGCCAAAACGCGAAATGTCGGATGTTTAAATACGTCGTCGATTGTTTTCCTCACGCTCCCGAAAAGGACTGCGGTTAGAGTGGCGCGAACGATCCCGTTAAGGACGTTCCTGTTAGGGCGTCTTTCATGTTTCGGCTGATTTTGGGGCCTGCTGGGTTGCGGGTTGCCGAGCAGTTGACGCATGAAAGTCGGCCTATATAGGGAGGTGCGATTACTCCAACAACCCAATTACTCTCTAATGCTCAATACGCATCCATTGTGCTCCGTGCTACAAGTAGGTCAAACAGATGGCTCATGGCATCTGCTTGCGTCCAAAATGGAGGGGGCGTAGTGGGCTTAGTTCCGCGCCAACAATAACTGCTTCAAGTACGTACATACATCCGATACTCTCGACATTCAGGGTTACTCTGAGTTCTTCCGTTTCAGTCGACGAACTCCGGTCCGAAAACTCATGTGAAAAGTGAAGGATTCATTACCTTGCAACTACCGCTTTGGTACCCTTTTGCCCTCGCAAATTCTTGTACGATCTTAGGCGCTGTGTGAAGTCACGCAGCCCATGCAAGTTCAGCAAACGGCGGTGGCATCTCCCCAAACCACCCCAGCAGGAAGGACGGCCTCAGCGACTTCATGGTGATGGCACGCACGGCAGAGAGCCTCTTCTCAAAGCTACACCACCCGGCGAATTCGCAACATCTGGCCTGTTGCCTATGAAGAGGTGCACTATACTGAGTTCATGCGGTCAGTTGGCAATCCCTAAACCGTTTATGTTTGGGTTTAGAATCCAACGGACATGCAGACCGGACAAACGGTAGCACACAGACGTGCAACGCGACTTGTAGGTTCTTGCATGAGTGCATTGAGCGTTTGGCAGCGTTAAACATTTTGAACTTTGGTCAGAAGACGGTGTGTCGTTCAAGGAGAAGTCTACTACTGCTGGGTGGTATGTTCGAATTTTCCATCTTGTACCGGCAGCAACCAATGTTGAACTCCCTGACACCCATGTAAGTTCGGAACTAAACTGTTTACATTCGTAGGGAATCAAACACGTGCTTGTTCTTGCAGGGTGGTATAGACTAGCCGACAAGTTCACCTCCTTGGCGTTGATGGAGAGTTCCCGTGGCGTTGCCTATTTTTGGTACACGTTTGCACCTTTCTTTGTTCATGCCTTTGCCTCATGTCCTGTTGCTTCATACAGGTTCAGGTTGAGTGCATCTCCGGCGATTGGTCTGGTGGGAATGCAGGAGAACACCTTCCTTACCGACTTCTTCGGTTGCGTTGGGTTTCTCCCGCTGACCACCCAGAGGTATCGCATACATGCTACTTTGGACAGCAGTACGCTACTTGCGGGAAGAAAAATCTGCTCATTTTACATACCGTTAACCAGTGTGTATATTGTCAATGTCGTTCATTCTGCATGCACATTGCAAAGCGTTATCGCTCGAGTATGCTGGTGGTGTTTGTCCTTCCTACCTTACTCCATGACCCTATACGCGGCACCTTTATGGTGTATTTTCTGTTTGACAGGCACATTCGCGAGACAATGGTGAAGATGATGGCATCCCCGGCCTCTCGAAGACAGTCAGCGGCCGGGACCGACTGTGACGAGGCCCCGGAACTCAATCTTCTTATGGGCCCGTCGACCTGCATCTTCTGGTGTGCCGTTGCCCTGGGGGCGCTCGTGAGGGGCAGTCCACTCGAATCGGTGTGAAGGTGGCGTCGTTTCTCTCCCTCTATATGCGTTGGAGGTTACCCGTGTCGTTTCCGGAGAATGCAACCAGGTTTCGCCATTCACACATCAAACCGAATTGGTGTGCGGTGTTAACGTTGGTTTGCCATCGCAGTTTGTTCATGCCACAAACTTCCCTGCCTCGACTGCGGTCTGTAATAGGTGTCGAAGTATTCTGAACTGGCACAGAAAGCGCTGGCAACGAGCTACCCGGGACCCGCAGATCTGGAGGTCGGAAAGTGAGTTACAGGGATGGCGGATAACAAGATCCCGCTGGCAGTGAAATTTCGATCATTTGTAGGCGGCGCACGCTACACCCAAGCGCCCGTTCTGACGCTTTTGTTCTTGGCAGGGTCGTCGTGCTTATACGCTGACGACATGTTCGTGATTTCTCAACAACTCGCGCAAGTTGCTCATCCTGTCTGCCGACAATGTCTGCTTGTGTGTTTCTGAGCAGGGCGTGGGCAATTCTGGCCTACCTGTACGGCTTCATGGGAAACTTGGTGAGCTTTCGTCCCAGCCCCTGTCGTCCATGTGGTTGCGCATCACCGTTGATGCGTGTGAAGTACGTGCCTGTTTCTGTTCCTCTGTGCCGAGGCAACCGGCGCACACAAACATATTTGCAAGTGGGCCTCTTCGCCGACGTGCTTGGTACACGTTAGAAACAGTCTGCTCCAGCTGACAATCGCTATATTTCGGTTCCTCCGACGTGCTTCTGTTCTACTGATATTTCCGTCCTTAGGTTCTGTTTCAGGGGTATCTGGCTCTTTCGGACTCGTTCTTGACAAGTTCTATTGAGCAAGGGTCCGCCGATGTGCTTCCGGTGGTGAGGAGTTCGTTTGCACCCGCCTATTGTAGGGTGCTTACGGTGACCGGGGTACAAAGAGCATGGATCCTCCTCTCGTGTCTGTACTGAAATGCGTGTGGATGACGCATGCTGACCACGACAGCCTTATATTGCGGTCTAAGACATGGCGTGAACCCAGTCCCTCAAGGAGTGCGGGCAAGGAACGGCATTCAACGACGCCGGATGTCCTTGTCTCATGTCACGTTTTTATTTGGGAAACTATGTGTGCCGCTGTGGTTGGTGTGTGTCCTTTGCGGCCGTGTGCTGACCAGGGGTTCGCCGAGATTGTCAAGCACAAAGATATCGCCAACTCGTCCTGCGGACAGTGGGAGAAGAAGTCGTTTTGCGCCCAAGAGCAAGCTACTCCGCAGGTGTGTGGTCGGTTGCTTCGCAGACCAGTCTGGCAATAGTTCCTTCAGCCAGAGTGCGCGGCCCGGGACTGATGCGTGCCGACAGAGTGTTGCACACGTGCCTCGAATATCTACCGTAGGGCAAGGTTGTCCGCCGGGCCGCATCTATGCTCTCCACTGAAATACCACAACAAAGTGGCATGTATTGAAATCATTTTGTTTTTTCTGCCAACATCGCAACCTCTCTTGCCCTTTCGTCAACGCCCGCTCGCCAATCTTGCTGACCCCGTAATTCCAGTTGAAGGAAGCTGCCACGGAAGTCGAGTTATATCAATATGTCGCTCAGTCATTCAGAGCATTTGAGCAAACTGTCCACGTAACAGCGAGCATCAATAGCGCGACGGCGGGCGATCACCTATGCCAGGCCGCGTCTGATGGCAGGTCAGACACACTCCTCCAGTCCGACCACGTTCTTCTACCTGGGGAGGTAGCGAACGCTATGGGGACGGTGTCAGCAAGTGGGAACTTTCTCGACTTTGAGCCGCTTGAAGAAGCAGTAGATCGGTGAGTCGAAAGGCTACGAACTTGTTTGAGCACACGCGTAATCTTATGACAAACGGGTTTGGAGATGTGTATCAACCGATATCAGGGTGCCACGAAGATGGGAATACAGCTTCCACCGAATCAGGGCCCCGCGATGGTGGATATGAGCAGGCACGTAGACCGTTCGTTGCCTGGGCGTTCAGGCCGTATTTCCTCCTGAACGAACTGGCTAACACCTTCCCACACACCCGCTGTCGCACATCTCACCTGCAATCGGCATGTGTTCCTCCTGGGATGCGGCGATTCTGGTGTGAGCAGACCAAGCGTTCGTGGGGGCATCGGCAGCCTCCAAGTTAACTCGTGAGAGAGGATGGGTTCTAGGTGTCTAGATGCCCCTTACTCCACTTCTTGATATCGATGCGTTTGTTGTTGACGAATTTCTCGTGTCTTGCATGGTAGGGGTTGGGGTGACGATCATGTGATCAAGGCAAATCTTAAATGCCAACCGGTCTTGCAAAATTGTGTTCGGATTCAACGCCACATTGGTTGGGCACTTTGGCGCTGCCGATGAAAACTATGGCCAGTACATGCTTGGAATGTTCTGTTCGCCCAGAATGTCGTGTCCGACTAGTGGTCATTAAACAACAGCACCTTGCGCCCTCGACCCTTTTCCCGTAATTTCCGAACCCTACAGAACACTTGTCTTCAAGAAGGCAGCAAAGGGCGATGTTCATGGCGCCCTGAAGAGAGTAGGCCGCTGTGTCCAGATTTTCGAGCGTTACCCTGGCTTGTGTCGCAGCATGATCGGGTGAGTAACGTTAGTGCCTTGCAGAGGTGACGTGATGAAGGGCTTTCCCCCGATCATATTTCACAAATGGCGTGAGCTACGTCCGTAGCCCGTTGAAAAGGGTATTGCCTGCTCACCAAATCTTTCTTAAGTATCTGAATCTCGTTCATGCCATCATCAAGTTTGTGGCAATGGCAAGGTACTCCACAGCGTGACATAGAGGTAGGGAAGTTAGCTCAAGAGCCTTGCGTCCTCGCAGTGGCCGCTCACAGCGAAGCGGCGGAAATAAGGCTTACTCTCATATCGACACGATCACTTATCGAGCGCGGCTGGCGCCGCATAGGGCGCTGTTCGGCGTCCCTCTTCGAGGAGCCCACGGGACGTCCTCTGCCCGCAATGCGCCGCCGCCGAGAGTTCCGGGCGCGCAGCGCCGGACGAGCTGCCCGTGTCGTCGAAACCGCTCCTAACCACGTGTTCGCAACCTCTGACCTCTTCCGGCGAGACTGTCAAGAAACAGCTATACCATTGGGGACTGAACCTTCTACATCGGTGTATTTTTGGGAACTTGAAGTCATCAGAGAACTCGGAACTCGGCATATACCTAGCTAACCAAGCCTACACATGTCTACTTGTTGTGTACTTTTTCGAAATGGTACATGAGCGCTGGCCTACACCATCGTGTGGTGGGGACTGCTGTGTAACACTGCTATCTTGCAATATGCGTGCGACCAAGTGGGTAAAATCTCTCCCAAAAAGGCGAAGAAAGGGGCAACTTGCCGGATGTTCGGAGAATTCACTGTGCCTCTCGGAACTCGGAACATCTCTCTTCTTATTATGTGTGTGTGAGCCATGGCAAAGGTACCAGCCAAAGTTGCACACGGACAGGCTCGCACAGATAGGCACACATGGTCAGGATGTCGTGTTAATGTGTGCGCCCGGGTTCGAAGCTCGCAATAGGTTAAAAGAGAATATTTAATGATAGGACACCAGCGCCTTCTTCCGACTTCGAAGCTGCATCTTTGTTATTTTCCGCTGTACACCGCCTCAACCACCGTCCGTCCCACTTGGCACTGCGTTTGAAGCCTGCAACTGCTACCTGACTTTTGCCGTTTCGTACGCACACCCACTCAAACGCAGGGTGTGGGGGGGGGGGTAGCCCGCTCGCGTTCGCCGCCCTTGCATCAACGAAAGTGTTTCTTCGCTCCTTCCGTGGATAACACCTTTGGAGTGTTCAGCTCGACCAACCCTTGTGTGCGGTTTATCATCGTGAGATTGTTTTGTTGAGCCCCAGTGATGCTACTATTCGGCTCTTCTACTTGAATAGTGTGCACGAATTCTTGATTGGAGTATGGCCGTCCGATCTATTCGGTCGACGCATGGTCTGTTATGCTATTGATCGAAGCACGACGTTTATCTCTCTCAACTCGTATCCACTTGTGGGGCTCCTATACATATATTCTTGAATATAGGCCGCTACCTGATCACTGGCCTCGACGTATACTCACTTTGATTATGTTTCTTTCCCACACTAGTCTTCTTCAGCACTAGTATCGCTAGGGCACGTCTTGTTCCCTGATGGCCTACGCCACACAATCTGAATGGAAGAGGCGCTCTTGCCTGGTAGGTGATGAATCAGGCAGAGAGTTCCCCTGCAGTAGGGGGGCACGCGAATATAATACAATAGCATATATTGACGAATTTTCTTTCTGCATAGTACTACCCGTGCCTGGAGGGCATGAAGTAGGGCTCGGCGAAAACGCGTCACCCGACCCTGTCCGGTTTCGCTGAGATACGAAGACAGCGTGTTGAGGCCTCCTTACACTACGTTAATTGCATGTGTTGTTTGTGACTTTGCTTAAGGACGGGCTACACTTGATTTGTTTGTTTTGCCATTCCCTAACCACCCTGCGTACTAACATTGTTGACTAATATTTGCTGGAATCTCGTTGTTTCTCGAGTAGGAGACTTCCGCCGTGGTCTAATTCTGTGTCATGATCATTCTTGCGACACATCGGGCTATGTGTGACGGCGAAGATTCGCTTGTTTGCATTCAGCGACTAGGGAAGAGGAGGCGTGGATGTATGTCATGGGCTACCGAGAGTATGTGCTACACATCGTCAATGTCGAATGCCCTGTGTTTACCTCTGCCCCCCGCGTTCCATGAAAGATGCCACCTGGCACATATGATGCTGGTATCTCTAGCAGCGATTGGTGACCCCAGAGCTCAGGCGATGTACGACAGGTTGCGGGAGTCCTACAATTCGTGTCGCCCTTCTGGCTCGCGGCTCGTACCCCCTTTGGAGGAGTGGCACGGAGTGGTTGCCTTCTGCGACGATGTCTATTGCAGGTATGTATCTTCCAAAGCATGAATCATCGCCGATCATGCGGTACAGACACTAAAGCGGTTCTTACACAATCTTGCCTAAGGGCATTACGGTGAGGATGATTTCGTGCGTTTGACGATAGTTTGAAGATGATTTTCTAACACGCGACAAAACGTGATGGCGCCTCCTCTCCCTCGGCACGAAACGCACTTCCAACCGCACCATTCACCGGTAGGGCGATCGACCTCTTTGCCCACAAGCTCAAGGCTTTCTCGGCGCCACCCGTTAACAGCATCGACGCCCCCGTGGAAACGGAGGGCGCGGATGCGGACAGAGCCAAGGGCGAGACCGCTCACGAAGGTCAATGGGAGATCCAGAGTGACACGTTGTCAGCATATATCGTTTCTGAGAATATTATGGGCGCAGTTCCGGTTTGGCCAACCGAGGGTGGACATGAGGGCTGTATGCGCCCCACTCTGGCGTCGACAGAACGTAGTGCTTCTTCAGTATCCTCACACTACCAATGGCACCGTTTGAAGGAAGAGCTTCACTCGGACGGCATTGAAAACAAGGCTGACAACGTGGTCATCGCTCCCGAGTGGTTGTCAACGTTGCCAGGAATAAGTGACGGGGGCGGGGTGGAGGAGGATACGGAGGACGATAGCATTGGCGCAGAGGATTGGCTGGATGTGACCTATTCCATGTTAGATGCACTTTGAACGGAGTGACACGAGCGTCCTCGCGGAAGCCACCTTGGCTTGCAATCTCTGGGTTGGGAAGAAACCGGTGGTTCGTTTTCATCTCTCGAATTTGTGGTTGAGTATTGCTACAACCGTAGTTCCATCTTCATACAAGCCTTTGGAGTACGGTAGGACGAACTTTCAACAGAGGAGCCAGAATGTTCAGAAAATGTCACGGTTCCATTCATGTTGGCTGCTCCAAGCCTCTGCGCTTTCGGCGAAGGCTACCAAGTAGAGACGCCGTCACGGTGACATGACTTTCATGCTACGGCAACACGCAAGATATGGTCTGTCAAGTAGCCCCCTCTCGGTTTTTCGAAGCGTGAAGAAGCCCCGTCACAATACGTTGTCTACTTTCGGCAACCGGTTGGGTCTAGGCTTTGGGTGTTGGCGATCCTTTTTGCGCTCGGTTGCATACACCACTATAAGGTATACGTTGGACGGCAACAATCGCAGCTTCTACAAGGATCAGTCACGTCGAGCTAGGCATTCACGGGCCTCACGGGCCGATAGATCCACGTTGCGTGCAATAAACGCAGGATGATTCGTATCATGGGGGCAGCGCCCAGAATTGTGTGGAGTGTCCCAATACAGTGTCCAAACGCAAAGGGCGCGTGCGTAACCAACAATATTTCTTTAGTGCTTGTTTCGGGATAGCGCTGACTGAAACCCCAAGATGCAGTTAGGGGAATAGACATTGTAGGTCTACATATATATATATACTATTTGTATCAACGAAGACCACATCGTCGGTGTCGGGACCTGAAAAATTCATTAACTGCGACAGATTTATACCTGCCAAATCCTCTTCTGCACTGTTGTAGACCAAACCAAGCAACACGTTGAGAATGCTCCAATGGCGGCAAGCTTCCTCCACAGCGACACGGTCCCTTCACAGATGTTTTTTTGTGTACTGTAGTAAGGATGCGAGAGAACGCGTGGGGGTGCGATCGATTTTTTAATGATTACGTTCGTGTCATATTTTGTCGCACGGGGATGCGATATCATCACCGGTACGTGATATATCACCGAACCCCGTGCGATAATCGAGCTACATAAATCGTGTCGAGACCCTGAGCTTTTGTCGCACTGGGGGTGCGATAGCCCCGATACGTGCTATTCTGAGTAAACGATAAAACTCTAATATCGCAGCAGGTATGTATGCCGTTTTCATCTTTACTGACTTTGTGTTTTCAACCCACGCCGTCGTGCGAAACCCAACATGTCACAGCCGTACTGCAGGACACACACTGCTGCCATACGAACTAAGGAACTGGAGCCTAAAAAGAAACTCAAAATCCAAGAACTTGAGCACCACATATGTGGGCTCGGCTAGGAACAACTCTACGCTACAACCAACAGACTATATCGGCCATTTTTGTAGCATGATCCCACAGGGTAGGAAGTGAAAAGCCTCGGCCAAAAACTACAGTAGAGGTTCTTAAGTGCGGGCGTGTTCTGTATTCTGTACAACACCTTTCACAAGGAAGCTCCGCGGTTCCCCTCGCGCAGGGAGCGCCGTGGAACTACTCGGTCGGGGCACTCGGTATCACCGGTGATGTCGCACGCCCCCCGTGCGATACCATCGATCCCCGTGGGATAATCGAAATGAACACGTTCTTTGTTTTTGGGGTCGGTAATTTACGTGCGATATCACCAACCCATGCATTCTCTCTACTCGCATCCTTCGGATGCATATACAGCAGTACTGTATGCATAGTCTAACATGGGCATGCCACAGCCTGCGTATGTCACAGCCTGCATGCACGACGAGCAGGTACAGCAGCAGCAGTGCAGCAGGAGAAAGAATATGCATACGTCCTACCATTACATTCGGAATGGTCCTCAGATCCGTCCCCGTCCACAAGCAGTACTGTCGGTTTAAGCCAATAGGAGGCGCAGCAGGTATTGTCCGCCGCCAACTCTCCGAATCCCCGCCGATTTACCGCGTAAAGACCACGTGCACGCGCCGTTTCTCGCGCTGCCTCTTTCGCGCTACTCCTATTTTCCTGTACCTCCCCGCCTCTTTGTTGCATGTGCAAAAGCAAACGCTCCTTACCGTGAGTAGGATCACGAAGCACCACAGGAGTACAGCCGTACATGTTGTAGTCTTGTGCTGCTGTAGTACCATCCATGGACACTGCAAGTGCGCTGCGGTTGAAAGGGAACGACAACGATGGTGAAAAGGGAACTTGCTTGCGGCCAACCCTGCCCGGAATGCGGAGGAGCTGCACGGAATGCGGACGGAAGAAGAAGCGGTGTGATGGCCAACAACCTTGTAGGTGGGACCAGTCACGGTGTGGGGACACGGATTGTGTGTATACTGCTGTACCATCGAAGGGCACCAAGCGGTCTCGATTCAACACTTGTTGGCAGCTCTGACATGACGGAGGGTTGACTTCGTGGTACATTTTGCATGGCTGCGGTATCCTACTGTTCACGACGCGACGAGATCCATGACCCGACGGGATTCATGACCCGACGGGATCAACAATGTACTTCGAAGTACCTTTGAGGGACGTCTTGAGGCTCCCCCTTTGTCGTCGTCATGGTCGACACACACACACACACACACACAACTTGAAGAACTCTAATTCCGCCGAGCAGCCCACACCATCTTCGTGACCAGTCTTCCAAACAACGAAACAGCGTTTCGTACACGTCATTGTTCTGCATAGCATACGTGATGCGTGCCGCCGCGAGTTGAAGAGGTGAACGCACGTAATTTCATGTTCACCAGAGAGACAGAGAGAGAGAAAGAGAAAGACAGAGAGAAAGAAAGACAGATTCCACCGCAATTTGCAAAGTGCCCTTACTCGGGGAGAGTTCAACTGCAACCTGCTACTACAAAGAAGACTTATGCATGCGAGGTTGGACCACCGGCGCGACCGGCTCGAGCGACAACGTAGACGCCAGAAGACCAAAACCAAGGGTGTGGAAAAAGAGTGTGGCCGACGGAGGAGAATACCGCTCAACAAATGAGCGCAGTGGCTGTGTTGATAGATAGACAGGCTGTTCCCTCGAGGCCATCATTCGCTGGCGGCATGGGAAGGGAAGGTGTGCGGAATATTGCAACAGCAGTACAGTGCGGCTTGTTTTTTCGGCAGGAGCGCTTATCAAGCCACAACCATGTTTTGCATGTTGTGACGATGTGTCTTCCGCAGCCACTTGACACAGACAATTCCAGTTGTTGATGTCATTTGAGAATGCGGCTTGAGACTATTGACGATGAGCCTCCGTTGTATCCGTGGAACGGTCCGAAGAACACCGCGTATGTCTGAACATAAATCTCCAGAGTTTGCAAGCTGTACTTACAGAGAGTGGTGCTTCCCGCAACTCGCGTATTGATCCAGAAGCCTGAGGTAGAAGCTTCTGTGCCGCCACAACGAGGGGCCGGGTCAAACCTAGAGAAACGTAGGTTCGGGTCACCGATCCCCCAGCTTCAGGGCGGGGTTTTTCAGGGTGCAGCACTCTCTCCATACGCGGGGCTACAGCTTGACAACTTCTGCCGGTTTGATTTCCAGCACAAAAAAAGAACCGGGAGAGAGGGGGAGGGAGCATAGTCAGAGTAAGCGCAACTCAGTACGATGTAGATGAGCGGATAGGTAGGCACACAAGGGCCACACACACGCCTTTCATTTCCGCAGTACTCGGCATGCATGCCGAGAATAGCGAGTGGATGTGGACGGAGTTTTGCCTTCGGTGTGTAAGGCACCATCAGCCGGGCCGGATGATGTAATATTCTCGTCGACATTGGTTCGCACAGCCTGCTACATGTAGGCAAATATCATCTGAAACCGCAAGAAAATAAAGACGGATAGTTGTTGACATCGTGATGCACACAGCGCCTGGAAAGGTAAAGGGTCATGGCATCTGTTTGCGTCGAGAAAGCAGGGACCCTTTGGGTGTGAGTCCCAATGGAACCGCTGCTGCTCGGACACTCCAAGGAAAAATATGAGTTCTGCAAAAATGAAAAAGGCTGGCTAATCAAAGGGAGCAGCTCACAAGAAGTTTCGAACTTGAGCTTGACATTTTTGAAACCTAGAAGAGAGGGGCCAACAGTACCGCGGCATTCTTCGTACTCCACAGTAGTAGTCTTCTCTTGAACCAGCTGTCTTGCTCTGCTTGCTGTTGTTGCAGCTCGAGTAGCACCATCTTCGGTAGGGTCCCGAAGAACATGGAAGCCACAGGCAGTGTGACCAGTTTTGCGCCGTTCCCTCGAAGTCCACGACCGTTCGTCCTCATAGGTCATGGGTTTATTACTCGATCGACGCGGCAGCCCATGATAACTTCTTTGGTATATGTGTCTCGCTCAAATTTACGGTGCGAACACTTGCTGTGCGACCCTTTCACCCTTGCGATGCTTTCATTTCTTGCGCTAGGCGCTGTGTGGGATCAGGCGGCCAGTGCGCTTACATCATGCGGCGGTGGCATCTCCCCAAACCACACCAGCAGCAGCACCAGTCTCAGCGACCTGATCGTGATGGGGCGCACGGTCGAGAGGTCCTCCTGCAATCAGCACAACCCGGAGCACTCGTGACATGTGGCATGTTGCCGTTGAAGAGGTACGTTTGATTAGTATCCCCCTTTGCCAGGTCTAGGCGTCTAGACCACTCGCCGGCCTCAATGTAAGCCCTGCCGGCTCACTAAAACTCCTGCTTTTCCCACAATCACATCAGAACACAGCTATGGACTTGCAAGCACGCGGGCTAGAAGGGTGGCAACAGCTCGGGTACCTCATGTAGCTACATACATTACGATCAATCAATGATTATTCTAAATGCCTGAAGACTCGCAAGGGCAAAGCAAAGAACAGGAGCACGCCCACTAACGGCCACCGACAACCCATGCGCATAGACAGGCATCGCTAGCTCTGGGTTCATTCGTCGTTGTATGGGGTGTTGGATGTGTTGCAATATGAACGGTATTTTTTTTTTTTTGCATGAATACTGCTGCAGGGTCCTCAATATATACGGTGCGCCCACTGTGTTTCGCAGTTTCTGTTTTTGCTGGACTACCTGGTACACACCTTGACAATCTCTATGATATCTGTAGGAAAGCAAGCACCTGATTGTTGGGATCCTTAGCCGACCACACCGCCCCGTCGCCGTTGACGGAGAGTGTCCATGACGTCCTTGCGTACAGTACTTCGTTGCGCGTGTTCATCGTGCCGCACTTCATATTCTGTTGCTATGCAGGTTCAGGTTGACTGCGTCTCCGGCGACTGGCCTGGTGGGAATGCAGGAGAACGCTTTCCTCAGCGACTTCTTTGGCTGCGTTGGTTTCGTGCCGCTCACCTCCCACAGGTATGGAATGCAGTGACAAATGCCACACATTTAGCGAGGAGAGCTGCTTGCTGTGGACGCCGCAACTTCGCAGTTTGCTGAAGTGACTGATGCTTCGTATACATGAAGCGGTGCTGGGGTAGGGTTTGAGTGTTGTTGTTTCCCCTGCCACCCGAAGACCATCGTCCTACCCGTCGCTGACCGGTCGCAATTTGCTGTGTTGTGGTTGATTTGGCCAGTCATATTCGCGAGACGATGGTGAAGATCATGGCATCTCCTGCCCCTTTGCAGCAGTCAGCCATTGGGGGCGCCTTTGGCGGGGTCGGTTCTATGGTTCGGGCGCGATGTTGGAACAAGGCCTCGGAAAAACCTCAACTTCCTATGGACCCGTCAACTTGCACTTTCTGGTGTGCTATTGCTCTGGGCGCACTTGCGAAGGGCTGTCCTGTCGAGTCGGTAAGACTTTTTCTGCGTTCTGGCCTGAGAGCGGTCCCCCTGCATGTTGAAGGCACGACTGGTGAGTAGTACTGCGATGGTTTATCTTGGCTTACTCATTCGACAGCCCTCCATGCCTCACTGGTGGTTCGTGACAGGTGGCAAAGTACCGTCATCTGGCCCACGAAGCGCTGACAAAGAGCTATCCGAGTTCCGCAGACGCCGAGGTGGCCACGTGAGGCAGTCGGGGATAGGCTCCGCCAAGGCCACTGCTGCCCTTGACTTATTGCCACTGTTCTTAGCCTGCACGCCTGCTGTGTGGCGTTCCATCTTGGCTCTCTGTAGATCAAAACGCACGGCTTGATGTTCCCGTTCTGGGCGGTCTCTCCTAGCCTCGTGCTTCGATAACCATGAACGTGTCCACCCTCCCTGCTTGTTCTTTTCTGTTCAGGGCATGGGCAATGCTGGCCTACGTGTACGGGTTCATGGGAGACTTGGTAAGCCGTTCCCCATGACCCTACTGTTCATTCGGATGCGTTTCGCGGTTGAGAATGTTGGCTCGTGAGTTCTCTCGTGTCAAAGCAGTCGAAGAGCGTCAACAATGCAGGTGGCAACCGTTCAAACACGTGGCTTCCAACAGCTTGCTTGTGGCACCTTAGACATTGTCTGCTCCAGTTTCTATCTCTGTGTTTGGTTTCCTCCGAATCGTTTCCGGTTGACTGTTTTGTGTGTTCTACAGGCAAAGTTCCAAGAGTACCTGGCCCTTTCGGAGTCTTTTTTGAAAAGTGCTACCGCGAAACGGTGCACGGACACTCTTCCATTGGTGAGAAGTATGTTTGCACCCGGGTTGGGCTCTGAAAGTGGCCGGGGTACGAAGAGCTTGCCCCCTCTACGCATGCCTCTGCTGTTACCGTGGATTGCATGAGATCCCACACTTCCGTCGACAATTTTCATAACTGAACAATTCTGCAGCAAACAGCGACGGTGCCGAAAGCAGCAGCGTTGGAATTGTCTCGTCGTGAACTTTCCGAAACCGCATCATTTGCGTTTTGGCGGTTTCCGTGGAGTTCTAGAGCTGTGACAATAACCGGTCTGGTTGTGTGTATCTTATGCAACCTACGGCACAAGTACGGCCTATCCATGCGACGACCTGACCACTACTGGCTCGTTTGTCGGTCTACGCAAAGCGTGAACTCCGTGCTCCAACAAAGGTACCTACTCATACAAACGATATTGAACCATCCCCGATCCATTTATTCGCTATGATTTGATTCATTTCCTAGCTATGATTTGGGTAGCGGTAGCTGATATCGTTGACACCTGGGCATACATGCCATGCGGCCGCGCTCTGACCAGGGCTTCGCGGAGGTTGTCCTGCCTGTAAAGATCCCCAACGCCTCCTGCGGGCAGTGGGAGACGAAGTCGCTTGACGCCGAAGAGCGCGTTCCTCCGCAGGTGGGTTGGGTGGGTGGGTTGTATCGAGTCATCTGGCAAGTATTTGAACCGGAGCTGATTGAAAGGGAAAGATGTGCACCGGGAGGGCCTTGCGTACGTGCTTGTGCGCTGGACCCGGAAAAGGCGGTGACTTTGCGATGAATTGAGGTTAATATTGACCACGCAATGTCGCAAATGGAAACCGATCGTCAAATTTTGTTTTCATGACCTACTGTTCGTGCTTTCCGCTGGCCCTGCCATCCCAGTTGGCCGACGTTGCCGCCGAGGGCGAGCTATATAAATACATCGCTCAATCGTTTAAAGCGTTCGAGCAAGCTTTCCAACAGAAAGCTTATAAGCAGAGCGCGAGGGATGTCGAAACCCCAGGCGAAACCGAAGGTCATGGCGAATCAGACAGAAATCGCCGGCGCCCAAGCGCTCTTCTGCCTGGCGAGATTTCGGAAGCTATGGGGACAGTGTTCGGAGATCGGAATCTTCTTGTCTTCGAGCCTCTTGAAGAAGCAGTTGATCGGTGAGGCGAATGATATGACGCAGATGCCTGTGAACGTAGGAAACATGTAGTAGCAGCAGGACGGTTAGTATCGACCGATATCAGGGTGGCCCGAGGGGTGATATCAGGAGCCATCGAGGCCCGACCGGCTTGGCCTTGGCTTTACGGAATTGATTTGCGCTTTCAACTGGCTCTCATCGTCCCATACGACCATTGATGTGTGTCTCACCGCAACCGGCTTCCTTGTGTAAATGGGATGCAATCACTCTGGCGACCAGACCAAGCATTCGCGGGGGAATCGGCAGTCTTCTCATCAATGGGTAAGCTGGGCATGTTTTCGAGAGTTGAACTTCAGCAATACCATGATTTGCATGGGGATCATGATCGTTCGAGCCGATGTTTGTGGCTGCTCTTTGGTGCTGGCCGCGGCGGTATCATGATTTAATGGTGGACATAAGAATTGTATACCCAGGAATTGAGATGCCACCTGGTCTACCATAAGCACGTTTCAATTCAGCGTGGCAGTTGCTCAACACTTTGGCAACTGCATATTATCACTGTGGCAAATACGTACGCTCGACAGCTTCTCTTGGTGAAGAGTGTATCCCAAGTCTCTTACCTAACGGAAATTCCTCACGCTATGATGTTCCGCCCTTGGCCTTTGTCCTGGCAAATCTCGAATCCGTCAGTACCCTTGTCTTCGAAAAGGCAGCAAAGGGGGATCGTCGGGCCACCCTGGAGAGAATAGGCCGCTGCGTGGAGGTTTTTGAGCTATATCCTGGAATGTGCCGCTGCACGATAAGGTGAGTTGCCTGTGCGCCCCATGGTGCTTGCAAAGACGGTGTGTGAACGTTTTTCATCTGTTTTGTATATCCCCCGGTTGCCGTTAACAAGCGACGTGAGCTACGTTGGCTATGCCTTACGAGAGAACCCGATGAAACGCGATAATTGTGTGTCTCTGCCTGAGGCTATTTTGTTTCCTGATAGCCAGTTTCGAGTTATCCTCTGGCAGCTGTAGAACGTATTCCCGACGTGTTCTTCAGGATACGTCGACGTTTGTAGCAGTGTGTTGTCCGTGTCACGTAACGATCCCCTAAGTTCTGCGTGAATTAGGAATGCATGACCGGATTTTGGCAGGCCTTTCAAAGATTGCCCCGGAAGTTGCAAGCGATACTACCTGTGACAGAGTGTACTGAATTTGCGTGTCGTGGGTTTTCCGTTTATTTTGGTTCAATGCGTAACTCTGGTTTGCCTCCAGGGCGCGGGGTAGGGTTGGCCCGGTCGGTAAAACACAGACCTGACTACCCGCCTTAGCTGCATTGTCTTGCGAGGATATATTGTTGTTCAGGTCTCCTGTGTGTAGTAGTGATACTTCAACAATGCCTCTTGTCCAACCTTCCATTTGAGAAAGGGATGTCTTTTTTTTTTATTGTTTGCTTAGCGTTTGGCCTTGCACTCCTGTTTCTTGTTTGTTTGGACATTATCCTTCCGAAATGTATTCCTTCGCATGTGGTAGAAGTAGTCTGGGTCGGGGTTGATTGTAGTTGTCTTTGCCTTAGTTGGGGCTTTTCTCGTGACCATGGAACGGTTTTCTTGGCCTCCGACGAGCAGGGAAAATGAGATTCTGGGACACAACATAGAACGGGTATCGAAATGAAGCCAACAGCACGACGCGTTTACAGGAGTCGCGACTGTTTTAGTTAGGGTTGGTAGAGGGCAGCCATCATGGTGCACCGACGGAGCCATTTGTGCTACGAAGTGACCTCTTGAATGCCGGTTTTCCCATCTGCCCCCCACCACCGGTGTATTCATGAAAGCCACCATAAGGCACACATAATGCTGGTATGTCTGGCAGCGATTGGCGACTCCAGCGCTCGGGCGATGTACGACAGGTTGCGTGGGTCCTACAACTCCTTCCGCCCTGCCGGCTCTCTGCCCGTACCCCCCTTGGAGGAGTGGCAAGGAGTGGGTGCCTTCTGCGACGATTTCTATTGCAGGTATGTGTGTTCGAGAACGTTGAAAACCGTGCTGATCATATCTCTGGGAAGAAACAGAACGACGGCAGAAACGTCGTGTACTGCTGTGAATGCGGGAGACATCGTAACTTCTGCACAGCTCTCCTAGCGTTGTTTCGATTTAGTTTCGTCCCAACTATTTTCTTAACATGATCTTGGAGTTGTGCCCTGGAGCACGTGGTCGACCCGTGCCGTGTGATTAGTGTCCGGTACCCGTTACTTCTATCACAATGCAACCTTCGACCGTTCCACGCACTTGATAGGGCGATGGAGGGCCTCGTTGCAAGCGACCTAATGAAGGCCTTCTCGGCGCCGTGCGTAGACGGCTTCGACGTCTGCGTTGGGGCGAAGGGCACGGGAAGTGACAAATTGTCAACATGCGACAATCCTGAGGAAAACATCGGCACAGTTCCTGTCCGGCCATCTGAGGGCGGGGGTGGATCGGGCTCCACTCTGGCGTCGACAATGATACCGGTTGCGCCTCCTGCATCCTCACACCATGCATGGTGCCATTTGAAGGCAGAATTTCACTCGGATCAGATTGAAAGCAGCGTTGCCCTCATGACCATGGCTGACGAGTCACTTCCGAGACTACCGCAACTGAGTGAGGGCAGCGGTTTGTTGGAGGACAATGAGGACCGCAGCATCTTCGCCGATGATTGGTTGGATGCTACCCATGCCATGTTGGATACAGTTTCAACAGTGTGATGAGACCGTTCTCAAGGAAGCCAACTTGGCTGGCAAAACTCGGGGTTGGAAATATGACGGAGGGGCTCGTTCCTCTCTCAAATGTGTGGTTGAGTCTGGCTATAGGTTGCGACACTTCCGTTTGGTCGCGGTTCAACCTTTCGAGTAGGAAGGGCTGTCACAAGGTACGAGTGTTTTATTGGTTTGCACTTTCCTTTATCTTGACTTAACTGTTTTTCGCAATCATTTTCTGTTGAGGGGTTAGAATGTAGAGAACGTCACGCCGACAAAGTTTCGCTACAATCGAAAACAAACCCGAAGAGGACTACCTTCCTCGTGCACCCCCAAAAGTGCTTCCTGGAGGGCGCTACACGTTGCCGGCTTACGTTGGGTAGCGTGTAGTAAAGGATGTGTCCACCGCAGTCAGTCTCCACGGTGGTTTAGTGGAAACCTCGAAACCGCTGGCAAAGTCGAGTTCGAATCCCTCAATGGGGAAAAAGGACAACTTTGCGGGTGGAAGAAAGCCAACAATGCTGAAAAGGCTCTCGTGGGTACCAAACTTCGACGTCATTATTTAGCACCGTCTACGAGGGAAAGGGACGGCTGGACTGGACCCTTCTCGTGATAGAAAACAGTTCGACTGTGGGTATATCTCGAATGGGTAGTCTTTCTGTGTGTGTTTTAATTATTCCTTAATTAAAATCGAGCAAGTACCGCAGGAGGAAGGCGGGGCACGAAAAACCTGAAACGAAGAGAAAGAAGACCCGGTGTTTTTACCCCCTCCTGTGTGACCCTTGATGGTTGTAGTTATGTTGTTGTTGTTGTTGTTGTTGTCTTCATTCACATTATTAAGTTGTACAAAAAAAACAGCCAGGAAATAATTCCTAAAGAGGGTAAGACGAAAAAAATGGCAGTGCAGTCGTTAGTCGTTCGCGGTGTTGCTTGCTTCGCATGTTTCATTTTGTGGTTGTTGTCGTAGGCTACTGATTTGCTCGGCTGCTATTATTAGAAAACATAGTCTCCACACACAGAAAGACTACCCATTCGAGATAACACCATAGTCGAACGGGATGTGTTGAAGTCTTCACAGCAGTGAATGGAGGGAAACCGGCTGGGTACTGGGCTTATTTCCCGTCGTAGTCGTGCGAGATCCGCTGAGGTGTGGAATGCCGGCGTTGTTGCAGGCAGCACTCACGATCATGGTAGGCGAAAGACCTACTATCTATATTATACCTTTTGTCTACCTCTCCTTTCAGGCGCTTGGATACTCGTAATAGTATGCAGGTATGATACAACAACAGAACAACAACAGCAGAGCGCCTCTCTCTACAGAATGTATTGTACGTATCGCGAGGAGTAGTCTCGTTTCTGATTTGCTTCACATTATGTATGTTTGGGATGGGAGAGATGTTCGCCCGCGGGTCGCGCACATTTTGCTCGTATGCTACAATAGTATGTAGCATATTTTGCTGGTAACGACTTGGTCGTACGTGCAACGACTTGGTCGTACGTGCAACGACTTGGTCGAACGTGCAACGACTTGATCGAACGTGCAACGACTTTTGGTCGAACGTGCACACAAACGTGCAATTTATTAGAGTTATTTACAACTCGATTCATGGACCTGCGGGACTTTTTTGGGCCTTTCGCTGCTTCGTACATTTATGGTGGAAAGCTCACGATTCATGCATTTTTGCCCCAAAGTTCCCTGCAATATAAAAACTCGATTCATCCACTTTTCTGGCTCTTCCACTGGTGGTTTGTGATGCTCATGAATGAATCGTTGGCCGCTGCGTTGGCCGCTGCTCCGCCGGCATCCGCTGCACCGTCGGCATTCATGTTGAGGGTTTTCCGGCCAATCACCCAGCCGAAGCCCACCCCAGCCGAAGCCCACCCCTGACCTTTACCTAACACACACGCGATGACCTCTACGGCAGATCGCCCCTTCGTCTCACAGGAGCAGCTAGCTGCAGTGTGCACTCTTATTTGCTTCTTGCTGCTGCTGCTGCTGAAGTTGTACTCCAATACGTCATCACCACCGTGCTCATCCAATCTCCCGATGAAACTTCCCCGCAATTTCTTGCCTACCTTGCCACACTGTACGATTCAATCCCGCGCCACAAAGCCCAGATTTCCTTCGTTCAATGCTACACTTTCATCCACTGCTGTATTTTCCGTTTTGTTGTCTAGTTCTCTCTTAATTTGCGGTCCGTTTGGACGGACCAACGGTGAACTTTCGTTGGAACGGGCTATTAAATCCCCGTCAGTTCTCCGCCTGATGCTGACCGGCGAACAGTCTCCTTTTCGCAGGTTCAAACAGAAGAAGAAGAAGAGTCCTGCTTGTTGTGCATGCCAGCGTGTTGCAGGTTCATTCACAGGTGCACACACGGAGCAGTTGCGCAGCGTCGCGGTCTGAAGACACGGCACCCCGATCCACGTAATAATGCTGTTGAACAATGGGAACGACCACGTTCGAAAGGCGACATGCTCGCGGCCGGGGCTGTTGGGAATGCGGAGGAGTTGCTCAGAATGTGGACGGAAAAAGAAGAGCTGCGATGGTCATCAGCCTTGCGGGTAAGATCCGCCTACAGTAATCTACATACAGTAAGAATTAGTAGACTACGCGGTTGGTTGTACCTGCATCGATCGGCGCAGTACCATGCGTTTGGAAACGATACAGAGTGGTAGATAATAGTACAGTCCACCCTTGGTCCACCGTACAAGTATACCGCATCAGTCACCAGATGGTTGTTAGGGTAGACTAGGTCTTGACGAAGAAATCAGATCTCGAAATCACATTTCGATATAGTCTAAGAATAAAAGAGGCGGATCTTGTAGTCTACCCAAATCCTTACAGAAATGGCCTGTGTGGGCTGGATCGCCTTTTGGGGACACCTTTTGTCCCCATCTTTTTCACCTGCTTTACCTCGCGAAGAATGGCATGATAGTCTCCTCCTGTGCACTACTCGACCAGGGGGGTGCCAGGGTACACAGGGACGACTCTAGTCTAGTATGGATGCTTTGTAGTGGAGGAGTATGAGGGTAATGAACAGGTCGAATCGCGGGGCGACCAGGCCGGGTTCAACAGCGAAGTTGCGCCGCGTCTGTCTACCCTTGGGTGGAAAGCGCTACTAGGGGCAAGCGCGGAAGAAGTACCTAGCACACCGTTGATAGGAGGCACCGAGCAACCTAGGGCTTGAGCTAGAAGGTCTCGCTTTCCCTCTAGAGAAATATCTTGAAAACCTCCTTATCGTGCCCCGTTTACCATGCTCCCGCCAGTATAGCCAAGAGAACGGCTCAATCAAGTGGGAAGGCAGCTTTGCACTTGCACCCACCGATGGAACTGCTGTCTGCACCATCCAAATCAGCAGGCGTCATTCGCTCTTTTTCTTGCATTTCAGAAATTTCGCAAGAACGCCGAATTTTCTGTGCGTGGTAAGGGGATCTGCAAAATGAAAATTCATCTCTGCAGTCCACCGCAAACAACCCGAGAGGAGGTCCGCCGCTTGCCGACTGCCAGGTTACTGTTGTGCCGTACTGTTATGACGTGGCCACACCACATGGGTGGGGAGCTATCGTTCCGAGAAGCACACACCAACGCGTACATGGCCTCTGTGCGGTACTGACACGATATATCTATGCATGCATGTGATGTTGACCACTCCTATAGAGCCGGACGGAGTGTTTGCCGGGTATGCCTGTATTTGTGCCCAGTGACTAGAAAGTCTCGTTGATGGCTTGTATTAGATCCGCAGGACAAACGCACGACAGACCGAGAAGAAAAGAGAGTGCCCCACACAGGCTGACGCAGCATGGGGGCACCGCAGAATCATCCAAGTCTACCACAACAGGTACCACAGCAGGTCCCTTTATCTACGGAACACAGAACCGTCCTCAGACCCTTCCTACATATATATGCACACACACGAACACCCACCCTGGATCATTTACGCTAGTAATTAACCACCACCGTGTGTTACTCATTGTCCTTTTTTTTTTGTCTTCACTTCAAATCAGCGCTCACAGCACTACATACAGTAGTGCCGTTTGCTCCAACCCGTGGTCACACAGAAGAGCCCCTCTCTATACCCTCCCCTCCTGCGGTACTTTGCCTTCGATTTTTAATGCGAGAAGAAGAGTTCAGCGCTCTCTTCCCTCTGTGTACACACGAACTAGCGCTATCCACTAGGCCAGAAGCGGAAGCGAGAGAAAAACTCACTTTGCAAGAAAAGCTCGCTTACGCCGGAATTCGAACCCCTGGCCTGACCTACCTCTAGAAGGTTTCGAGGATACAAACTAGACCACCGGGGCGACCGGATAGCCCTACTTGGACACTACCGAAAAATCAAACAGAAAAAAAGGCGTTGCAAGGAAAAACCCGGCCTCCGAGCCAAAAACCCTCGCAATAGTTCCACGACTGACTACCAAAATAAAATATCGTTGTCATCTCAACTACTCCAATTCCCTACAAACGAAGGCCAAATACAGCGCTACGTTGGCATTTGAACTACTCAAATTCCCCTACATGGTGACATACTAAGCGGACCAACCTACATCGATCGATAATTCGGATGATCATCTCAACACTTTCAGGGAATAACAAACATAAATATACCAACGTTACAGCTGTGTGTGCTCTCCCGTGACATCTGGCCTACAATTCGAACAACAAGGAACGACGTTGATACGGTCCAAACACGGTAGCGACTGTTGAGGGGAGGCCGTCAGAGAAATGCACGTTCCCTAACATCGGGTAAACGACACAATGGATGCCCTCCCATATTGTGCGACTGCACATAAAAAACTCAAATTGCTACCAGTATTCTCTGCTGTACAGGTACCAACCGGATTGATTGTCGGTCTCAGCGGGGGTCTTCTCTCCATTGCCAAGCAGACTCCGGCTCCTCCCACCCAAAACCCCTGCTGCTGCTCGCCACCCTGGTAAGCGCGCCGACTACAACGACAACTGCCCACGCTGCCCCCCCTATACATCTGGAAGTACGTTGGCGGAGATCTGTGATGACTGTGCAGCTCCCCCCTTCATCTATCAGGAGAACCGCCCAACCGAAAAGCCCGGCGCTGCCCCCCTTCATCTGGAGGCGCGGAGGTGAAGAAAATGCTGCCCTCCCCTACATCTGAAGAGCGGTGACCTGCGTTGCCCCCCCTACATCTGGAGGCAGGCGTGCCGGTGAAGAAAAGTTGCTCTCCCCTACATCTGGAGAGCGTACACCCGCGCCGCCCCCCCTACATCTGGGGGCGCGCCGGTGAAGAAAAGTTGCCCTCCCCTACATCTGGAGAGCGTGGAC